GCAAATCCAAAAGTGTACTTGAGTGCTGTTTTAATGATTTTTTTTTTTTCTTAGATTTTCCTAAGTGAGCCTTTTTATCTCACTGGAAAATAAAAAAAAAAAAAAGCTACTTCCATTTTCAAGGAAAAAAGTCAAGACTTACCCAACTAAAAGAAGAAGTGCACAAATCAGAGCAAATCCAAAAGTGTACTTGAGTGCTGTTTTAATTTGCTAGATGTCAAGGGGAAAAAAAAGTATACCATTTAGTAAGACTTTTACATAAAAATATAAAATATACTTGCTATCATGTAACAGTACTTACATATCAAAGGTACACTTACATTTAACAAACGTAGTATGAAGAAGAGAACTTTAACATCTCATTAATAATTTTTATACTGAATATATTTAAAATACCATTTTGCAATAAATAAAATATATTATTAAAAACAATTTCAACTTATTTACTACTTATTTTATTACTTATTTTAATATGGCTACTAGAAAATTTAAAATCTCACATGTGGCTCACATTATATTTCTATTAGATAATCCTGCTCTAAAATAATTTGAAGACAGAATCACATCATTCTTTGAAAAAAAGGAAACAATCTATTTTTTTCCTAAAGTAAGACCTTTAAAATAAAGACACTTACAGTACATTTACCAGTATCATCATCATCCTTTTCTTCATAATAGAAGTAGACAAAAGGGATCCAGAAGAACACACAGAACAATACAACAGAATATAGAGCTGTGAAAATAAATAAACTTTTACTAAATACATATGTATTTAATAATATATACACATACATACATACTTATTTATTTACCAAATTCACTCCACAATCTGATTTCCTATACCTATAGCTCTGTGCATGTATGTGATATACAAATCAGCCTTTTCTCCCCTCTAGCCCCAAGGAATCAACAGCACTATTAGAATAACAAACCATAATGCAAATTAACTATGTGCAATTTTTAGCAATAACAATGTTAATAATTATGCCAATATCATGGCATTTAACATCTGAGCTCTAACTATGTACTAGACATAGTGCTAAGAATTTCTTGTGTACCATCTCATTTAATTCGACAAATGAACTTTAACTTTTGTATTCATTCCAACTTAAAATCAAGCAGAGCTGACAATATTTGCCAGTCACTCTGGCAAGTTAAAGAAACAGCTATAACTCATACTGTCCTTTGACACAATCATTTCCCCATTCTTTGTTTAAAACATGCAATGTTATAAAACTGATCTTATACAAATCAAAATAGAGAAAAGGTAAAAACAACAAAATAGTAAAACTGGATTCAAAGTAACTAAAAGGATTTATGATTTATCTGCTTAAAAATAATCTGTTAGATTTGAGATACTTTCAACTAGTACTCAGTCAAAATATTTATTTTAATTCAACATAAAGCTTAAATTAAAATTTAAACAGCCAAAGATACAGCATATTTAACAATAAAAACAGCATAAACAACTTTTGGGAGCTTAATAAACCTACCTGCTTAAAATCTTCTGTGTATTCACATTTATTTGCATATATATAAATTCTTGGAAAATCTCAGTACTGATATAATTATATAAAGTAATCAAAGGATGATAATCATAGTGTTTCTTTGTAAAAGAAAGTATTTTGTCAGTAATGTATTAAAAAAATGAATACCTTATTCTGATAGAAACAATAATTGTATGCGTTAGAAGATTTTTAAACATGATCTTAATACTTGCTAGCTCTATCTCACTTATCTGGAGAACACTTAGGAAAAAACCCCCACGAATGCAACAAGCTAAAAACTCAGCACACACAGGGCTCTTTGTAACCAATAGGAAAGTCAGAGTTAACTTATACTGAGCAATCACAAAATAACTGTCAGCATGCAGAATTTTTGACACTACAGATATTTAGTGAAAATTATGCAGTCTTCAAATATTATGAGTAACTAATGACTAAGGGTAATGAGTACTGGTGTTTCAGTACAAACCAAAAAGTGGTGAGTATTAACATTTCCATTGCAAATAAAAGAGCCACTGGCAATAAACATATATTCAAAATATTAACCAAAATAAGTATTTCAAAAGCTTCATAAATTAAACATAAAAGGGCTATGATTATAAACCACACAGAAACTTTTATGGGAAAAAAATGTCCAGAGGCTGTTGATAATAATGGTAATTTGAGTAAAGGCATCCTATACATCATGCTAATGTTATGACTGAAATAATCAAAATAATTTTTGTAAAAACAAGGAAAAAAACCTGAATCAGCACAACAGACTTTAACAGGTGGGCAGCCTCATGTCAAAAAATTTGATAAATTAATAGATGCACTAAGGTTTGGCTTCAGCCTTTGTATATCATCCGTAACTGTAAAAAGGCAAGCCACAGGCTTGGAGAAAAATATCTGTAATACATAGTCAACGAAGGATTCCTACAAAGAATATAAAAAGAATTCCTACAATTCAATAAAAAGACAAACAATCCACTTAAAAATAAAAATGGGCAAAAGACTTAAAAAGACACTTCATAATAGAAGATCTACAAAATGGCCAATAAGCACATAAAAAAAGTGCTCATCATCATTAGTATCAGGAATGCAAATTAAAACCACACTGAGATACTACATACCCACTAGATTGGCTAAAATTAAACAACTGACAATACCAGATGTTGACAGGGATACAGAACAACTGACATTCTCATTCTTTGCTGGTGGGAGTGTAAAATGGTACAACATTTTAGATGACTGTTTAGTAGTTTCTTATCAAGTTATCATATACCTACCATGTGACTCAACAACTCTAATCCTTAATATATAACTATTTTAGGGGTTCCACAACCACCCACATATTAGATGATTTGCTAGAAGGATTCACAGAAGTCATAGGCAGTTACACTCATGGCTATGACTTACTACAGTGAAAGAATACAAAGAAGAATCGAAAGGAAAACAGCCACATCAGACCGAATCTAAATGGAACCAGGTGTAGGCTTCCAAAGTCCTTGCTCACAAGGGTCACACAGAATACACTTCTTCCTCCAGCAATGAAGTGGAGCAATACACGCAAAGTGTTTCTGTCCAGAGAAGCCTTTTGAGTCACAAAGTCTAAGGCATTAACTGGGAGGTGGTCATATAAGCACATTTGACCAAGTCACCAGCCATGATTACCAAAATTACAGACACGCAAAAGTCATGTTTTGTACAATCTAGACAAGCTGGTACTGTGTGGTTCAGTACTCAGGTGTACAAAACAACTTATCAATTAGTAAGATAGGAAACATTCCAAGTACTAAGTTCTCAGGGGTTGGTCAAGAGTCAGCCACACAAACAGGCCCTCCTGAAAAGGAAGATAAGTGAGAACTGAGCAACATCAGATCTGCTGTGTTAACTTCTTCTCAACAAGAGTGTTAACAGGAACGTTTTTCCCAGTGGTCAAAAACTGGAAAAGACTCAAATGTCTACTAACAGGCAAATGGATAAGCAATCTGCAGTGGTATATTCATACAAAAGAGTAACACACCAATAAAAAAGAATGAACTACTGACATCTGAGAAACGGATGAATCTCACAGACCTTATAATGGATAAAACAAGACAGACACAAGAGCACATTCTCTATGACTGAACTTAAGTTCCAGAACTGGTAAAACTATCTATTATAAGACAAATCAAAAAAGTGGTTGAGGCAGCTACTGATTGGAAAAGGAAACCAGGATGTAGAACAACCGAAGGTCTCACATGTTGCTGGTAGGATAGGAATGTGCAGAAAGAAAGTTTCTAGGTATCAACACCTGGAGGAAGGAAATGGTGAACAGACAGGATTCAGAAAGGCTCTAATATGCCCCAACTAGTTCATAAGTTTCCAAATAGATTCAGAACAACTGCTCTAAATCTTTGTTTCTCTGACATCACACTTTAAGATATCTTTCTGATAATCTGATTATTCTTTTAGTCTCCTTCATGGCGACTTCTTCCTTTGGTTTGTAAATGTTAAACTATAAACATGGATTAACATTTTTCATGTGTTTCAGATGCATTCTAATGTCAAATTGAGATCATATATCTGCAAATGAAAAACAATTGCTGCTACCACTATCGTGAAACAGAGAAATTGCTTCTTTTAAAGTTCTACTTCAAACCGAAAACTATTCTCCAAGGAAAATTATTCTTAGCTCCAACAGTTATGACACTCTCAAATTCTGACATCTTTATAAAGTATGCTTTTACTTCTAAATGTTTTTGTTAAGATTGCTACTAGTAAATAAAAGATAAACGGACTGCTTGGTTTAACAGATCGACTAACATCAAAGAAAACATTTTAAGAAAAATATTTAAACTTCATGGCCAGAGAAATAGGCAAAAATAAACTCTCATCAAACAAGTACTTTTTAAAAACTTATCAAGAACTAGCAAACACAAGTGAACAAAGAGCCACCAACTCTTATAAGGCAATGAACAAAAACTGTGATAAGAAATACACAATTCCTATAATTTTTTAAAATATATAGAGAGTAAACAATCTACCTTTTAAAAACTGAATACCTTTAAACTATGACACATGAAAATTAACTTGGCTACAGTAAGCTTTTGAATAATTAGACATTCTTTATTCCTCCTATTAATGAAAATCGCTAACCTTTAAATAAAAAGACTATGACAAAGAATAATGTAGTCAAAATTGTGATGGTATAATTAGTCCTTATAAAGCTTTTTTTTTTTTTTTAAAGGGTCAAAGTATAAAGAAAGTCTGGGAACTCTGAAAGCCTTCTAAAATTATCCCATTTACTCAGCTGAATAAATCTGGGGTCAAGACCACTAATTCCATATCCAATATCCATTTTCCTTTTAGCTGGCATTGCCCTTTTTCTCCTGCCCCCTTCCTTCTGCCTGAAAAGGATACATGACAGCTTAAATTCCAGCCACCATTTTGGACTATAAGGTGACTTTAAGATGGAAATCATGTGCTAAGGATGGAGAGCAGAAAAGAAAAGAGCTTAAAACCCACATGATGCCATGGTGCTGCCATACTACCCCTGGATAGCCTATCCTCAGACTTATTTTATGTGAGACTGAAAAACTACTATGCTGTTAAGCCACTTATTTCCTGTCTGTTAATAACAGCTACATATAATTCCTGAAATAGAATTTGGTACCAGAAATGGGGGAACCGAAACATTCACTGCTAAGCTCTCCTGAACACTTGGTGGCCCTGCCTGTGTTGGGTGAATGTTACAGACTTCAATTAACTTTTGTCATTGGACATGGTAGTATCATGAGGTATCACAGAGAATCCCCTGGGCTCATGATATCCCATAGTGAATCCCTTGCCTTCACTGGGTAGTAGCAACCCTACTTCTCCTAATAATGAGGATCATTCACTCCAGCCAATATAAAAACTATTATTGCGTGTTCCTTCAGTAGAATAAGGAGACCAAATGGCCAGGTAGAAATCACACCTTCAAATCAATGAAACCATTCCTTCATCCTATGATGGACATACTTCCATATGAATATTAGGAATTCTAATCCAGCAGAGCTCAACTGCAGGGTGAATCAAGTTCTGTGAGTAATTAAGAATAATAAAATAGTGCAACCTGCCATGCTCATGTCTATTCCTTAGTTATCAGTAACATGTATACAGATTATGTGAGATATGGTCCACAGCAGTCTCCAAAATATAGAGAACACTTCTCAACTCATTTTACGAAGCTAGCAGTCTTGATACCCATACATGATAAAAATAA